TTTTTAGTTACATTTACACTTGAATCATGTGGCCGATGGTCTGATACGGAGTGATTTATGAGTGCAACAGGAACACAACTTATTCTGTTTTATTTGATCAAATATAAGAAATTAACAGGATGTTATTTTATCTTTATTACAAGCCTTCATTCTTATTCTTTTATCATTTCTCCCCTCTCTATCCTCCAGTGGGCATCGTGCGGCCCACCCTGACCGTCCTCCCCCCCTCCAGAGAGGAGCTGCAGCAGGGCACAGCCACACTGGTGTGTCTGGCCAGCGGGGGCTTCCCCTCAGCCTGGAGTCTGGGCTGGAAGGTGGGGGGCTGCAGCAGCTCCTCAGGGGTGTCACGCAGCCTGGAGGTCCTGGGGAGTGACGGCCACTACAGCTGGAGCAGCACCATGAGCCTCCCTGCAAACCAGTGGAGGAAGGCGAGCTCAGTGAGCTGTGAGGCCAGTCTGAATGGACAGAGCCCTGTCACTCAAACCCTGGACCCTGACCTCTGCTCAGAGTAGAGCTTCAGCAACACTTCCTGTGTGGAAATGAAGCTGCTTCTTTGATAGAGATCTGGATGAAGCTACAGATCTCCTCTGTTTCACAGCTCTCTACTCAGTGTTTTAGTGTGTATGTTGCTTTCTGATACTGATCTTCTGCATATTCTTCTTCACTTTTCATATTAAACTGAATTATAGATTAGTTTTCACTCCAAGATGAACTGGTGATTAATCAAAGATGTGACATGGACATTAAACTATAAATAAAACTGTGGATTATAATGATTCAGTGTCTTTGCATTCATTTTATAATACGTTCTTATATTATACCTGATAAGAGATTGCTGTATGTAAGTAATGAAATAGATATTTGGTTTCTGCTTGGACTGTTGTTATAGTGTTATAAGCAGCCTTCATTAGAGCTACAGTTAAGGATTGTTTTTTAATATCAGAGGCTATGGTCCAACAAGAATCTAACCTCCCCAGTTTATTCATAAAGAGACTGAATGAACTGACAAGAATATAAGTTTAGTTTTAATGTGTATAGAAGAGCGTCTGTGAGTTTGTTTCAGTTTTATTTAGATTCATGGTGGTTCTGCTTGATGACTCTCGTGTTCACTGGACCAGTTCTCCTCATCTCAGTCTCTCCACCAACTCTCTGCACCTGCAGCCGGCCGTTTTCACTTCTATCAAAC